GCATTGGTCGAACTGGAACTCGTCGGGAAAGGCTCGAGGACGTTGGGGAGCGACTCCCATGGAGAAACCCGAAAAATTTGAGGAACATTTGTGGCCTCACCTATCATCAGGAGATACATACCTTTTTGAGCATAAATGATCGCCACTGGCGCGCAGACTTTAAATCCCGCCCGCAGGAGTCGGATTGGTCTGGGGAGAGGGTTCTTTCGCTCACATTTTTAAGTTTTCACTTCGACCGCGCTGTCCTCCTCCCTCCTATAGCGCTCACACTGTGACATTATGTTTCGATGCTATCGACTCCCTCCTCCTGTCCCCCGCTTTTCGATTTTCGAGATTAATAATGGGGGAAAATTTTCACTTGAGGATCCTTCCGCGGTTCCGATTCATGCGTAGCTGTAGTGTTCCTTCATGAACGAGGCAGCACATAGGTGTATTCGATTGCCTTTTCGGTGTAATCGGGGTACTGTTCCGAAGATCACGGGCAATGAAAGAGCCTCGGAAGAAATCATTCTCCTGAAATCTGATACGTATTCTTGCGCCCATGGAAGCATGCGTCGCGTATTGCGGCCTCCAGGCTCTGCATGAGTGTCATTTCGTCTCTACCGCTCCATTTCTCGAAAGAGTTGCCTCAACGTGACAAGATTGGCGAGTCCGGAATCGGAGATCTGCGCGGTTGCCTCCCGTCGTACAGCTTCTTTCTTTCCAAGAATCCTGATTTCGAGGGTCGCTCAGATAGGCACTCAATGGGGATATCGACTTATGAGCACGTGGTTTGGGTGAAAATCATCCGAACGTCCGCTCACAGTCGATCCGCTGAGGAGTTCGCGAGCTGCAGGCTCTACTAGAGGGACCGATTGAAGCCAACGAAAGAAACATAAAAAGGAAGCCAAGGGGGAAACATTGAATCCCTTGCAGTTTTCCGCTGGTCAGTTCCTCTTTGAGGATTTAGAGTCCGCTCCTTCCTTTATTTGCCCTCGGGCTTACTGAGCCAACGGAAGAGGCCCACTGAGAAGAAGTTTCGGGTGCCCATTGTGGGGGTTTCGGGAAGCAGGAACATCGACCGAGCGGGATGAAACTCAGTAGGAAGGGGCGGGGTTGAGAAACGGGGAGGCGAGGGAGCGAAATAAATGGGGAGCCGACAGGCGGGAAAAAGTAGGGCCGCTGTCAGTTTATTCCCTCCTTTTAAAGTGAGGAAACTCTACCAACCCGACAAAGGACCGTGCGAGGAGGGACCCCGAAGCTGAGCTAACGGATCTTCGTACTGGGGAGCTCGGGAGAATTTGTCCTGCACCAGGGGCTCAATGCTGCCTTACCGAATCTCGTCCACTTCATTCGGCTCTTCAAAATTATGCGGCAAGCTGAGAATTGCTGGTCTTCGAGGGAAAGTCTGCCGACGGGTGAATTCGCGTTATCAGCACGGTCAGATGGCCTATCACCTTCCGCTGAACGAGTCTCGGAAGACTCTCGATGTTACTTGTTCAAGGACAGGTGAATAGATATTTCACAGCTTATGATGATGATCGTCCATCTAGCGCGGTCGGACGAGCTCGTCGAAATCTTGTGCGGACCGTCATCGAGAGGATCATTCCGTGCGTTCGAATGCGTCGAACCCGCGTCACTCAGACAACGCACGATTTCTTTAGCTCGAGCCTCAGCGTCCAGCTCATCTTGGCAGAAGCGGGATCCGATGAATCAACGCAGTAACTTTCACGCTTGGATATGTCGCGAGCGAAAACAGATCTCGTTGAGGCCATTGATCATCTACGAAGTCGAACTCCATCTGAGCGTGAAGCGAGTGCGTAGGTTCGCTCAGTATACAGGAGGCTTTTGTGGACCTGCAAGCCTTCAGCAATTTCACAGAGGCCTCCAAGGTCGGGGAGTAAAAATTTCACGCGAGCTCGCTTCGTTTATAAAAAAAAACCATCGAGCGCCACTGGCCGTTCTGCTAGTGGACGGCCGAACAGCGGCTCTTCGCTCTGGCCAGCTGCGGGGGTGGATGTATGACCGGACAGGCAGACATTTCATTCGTTGGCTTGTACCCTGGCGTTCGACGATAAGAGTCTGATCGCTGCCTCGGGATGGAGGTGGGGTACGAGACTTCAGGGTTGTAGCTTGAAGTCACGGCATGAGATTCGTTGTTCGTTCGGACTTTCGGACTTTCGCCTGTCAGTTCGTCTGTCCGCCCGTCCGAGTGAGCGAGCGAGCGCCCGTGCGACCAAGTGAATAGTTGGCTTCGTCAGTCGCGCAATGTCCACTCCTTGCGAAACCCTATTTGAGAACATTGCTTCACTTCAAACAGAAACGAACAGGAATCGTTTACTGGCCGGACAGCATGCCGCCGGGATCATTGACAAGATATCTATCTGCTCAACAGTCCGCCCACCGCATGTCAGGAAAGATTCGATGTCCTCGTCGTCGATCCCTCCGCCATCGCTGACCACTTTGATTATAAAGTCGATTGTCCTTCCTCCAACTGGTGTTCTTTCCGTTGGATTGGATCCAGCTTCCCTCCGGCGAACCGGATCGGACTGTGAGACATTACGCTTCCTTTTCGGTGATGACATCGGCCGCGCGATTTTCCCTCAATTTTCAAAGAAAGATTCTCAGCCCTGTCCAGGATCGATCACGGATCACATTATGTAGCGCCTGTCGGGTGATTCTCGTGGCCGATTCCGATATGAGATTTGCTGTCGCCGAGCACAGCTTCTGGAGCACAGAGAGCGTAGTCCGAGGCCTAGGGCGGACATTTCGCAGGCCGCGAGCTGTCGAGTGAGCGAACGGCAAGTCTGTGGGCAAGACGGGAGGACAATGTCGTGTGCTATGAGACAGGTGCTTCGAGGGAGCAACCTTCCTCGACAACTAAAGCTGAGGTCCGCGGACAAAGTGATCCATAATTCACATGTTAGAGATTGTCGTGAACGACTCGAGTGTTATTCCTTTTGGCCATGAAATATACATTCGTTTCTTGAGATTAGCTTTCATTCTTTCCCCGTATTGCGGCTCATCAGAGATTCCTCCAATGTTCATGTATTCAGAGCCCGGTCGAATCACTTTCGTGGAGAACGAGACGGCCGTGTTTTTGAAATTTGAATTCTATTCCAGGTTCCGAGGTCACCCTCTGTTCGCCTCATACGGAGAGCCGGAGTCTCTGCCCGGACACCCCAACATCGGAAGCGACTGACGACAGCGTGCGAGGTACGTAGCCGTAGCAGCGTAACGGAAACGGTTCTCGCCATTCGAGAGAGACTTCGAATGAATCGGGAAGACGCCGGTGGGTCATCCTGAGGGGATTAAATGAGCTAAGAACGAGGTCGGGAAGAATTATTTCGCATTCCGCCGCGTTGTCGAGGTACTGTCCATGAAGGAAGCCTGTCCGATTCATCGAGAGCAGGGAAGTGTAGTGGTAAACAAATCACAATTTGTCAGGGAACAGAGCCGATCGCGGTATACCGCATAAAATCGCCGGAAAGTCGATATCGTCGTAAAATAAGTTTGAGAGATATCTTCCCGTTTATGCCGATCCAATCTCCATGATTCGCGGTGGCGGATCACTTTCGCTGGCATGTATACGATTGTCACTCCGCATACGGCGGTGGAATATGAAAATTTATAACCGGTCGGATACGCATGCTCGAGCTCCTGCTCCATATTACCCCGGCCGGAGCAAGTCCGTACTGTCGGATGATTTAGGTACATACATATGTCTCAGCGGGAGGGACGCGGTGAAGGCCGCCACCTCACCTCCGAAGTTTCCGAAAGATTTTCTTAAATTCCTCCTGGTCTCTAAACCGATCGAATTAGTCCAGTCCGAGAGGGATGTATTTCCGGAGAGCTGCTGTCCGACAATAAAGTGTTCTCATCATTCCGAAGCCAAAGAGCTCTCTAAGAGAATCGTCTAATGAATCGTTAATCATTGTTATGGCGAACCTGGGAATCCATCCGGACACAACCCGAGTTTTCCCTCCCTTTTCCCCTTCTTCGAAGTGTTTTTCCCTCCTTTGTGTGTTCTTCTTATTCTTGTTCAGCGATCGAGCGCTCGTTGGATAGTGTGCTCACTCAAAATCAAGGGGGTCGATGTCTTGGCAAGAAAGCGAGGAAAAGACATCCAGACGAAAAGAACGAGCACACTCCGAGAAGTCCCGAAAGAAGAGGTCCGCCATGCGGAACTCTCCGTTTAACTCTTGCTAAGAAGCAGCATTGTTCGAGCATCGGCGAATCGACAATGGGTCATAAAGAAGGCGAAAGCTGAGGAAGTGCTCACTTTTTCCGCCGTAGACCCAATCTTTCCCTCCAGAGACGACTCCTCGTGATCAGAGTGTCTCCGTGTTTTCCTCTGATGGTAGAATGTCTTGAGCTCTTCTCGAATTCTCGGCTCAATGCCAGTTTCTCGAATATTGGAAATAAATCTAAATTGTTCCGAGACCGCCCCGTCCACCGGATGCATTCTCCTTCCACGTAGGATCATCGAGTCTCCTTTCTGAAGCAAACTCCGAGGAAAATGAAGCCGGAGTTTCACTTTCTGATGTGCCTCCGGGAAAAATGGAGCCGGATTTGGTTCTCAGATCTGCCTCCGGGAGAGTCAAACTCTGAGAGGCCGCCACGCGTAGGTTTCAGAGATAGAATCCGATGTGATATGGATGGCTCCTCTAGAACTCAATCAGCGCCTCCAAAGCTTTCGGATGCGGGGTGATGGACATTCAGACGAAGTCAGGTCGAGCCACGGTACCAATAGACAATAGCCGCTCGATGTGATCTGCGGATAAGCGAATGAGAGATGGGATCGCCGATGGATGTGGCTTGGCGTTCATCGACTGGAAAGATATCCTGCCCTGGAAGTTCGGCTCATCTGTTCTTTATTTTGGCGGTGCAGGTGACGACTGTCATGCTTGTAGGCTGGGAGGAGGAATCTGACGAGCTCTCGGCGCGAGTTACAACAATTAACGCCGCTTCGGTCCTAAACATGCTTGCTGTCTCTTTTCCCGAGCGCAGCTAGATTGACGATGGGCCAAGCGGAGAGAGCCCTTTATGGTACCGCCTTCGCTCAGCACGGGAAGCATTCGCTGCCCGGCACCGTCAGGAGCTTGGCGGCTTTTCCAGTTGAGAGTTTGAGTTTTCCATTGACAGAGACTGTCGCTTCCGCGAATATCTACGCAAGGAATCACAGAATGGAGAACTTGTTGGACTCATTGCGGGTGCCAATCGATAGCGAATGAAAACGAGGGTTGCCGCTTCGGCCATTCGAACTTTTTCAGGTCAGCCGGAATGGCCAGGCGAAGTTCAATAGGCAGAATTATCATTAACAAATCGCTGATCTTTCGACAGATGATCAATCCACGGTCTCATCGCTCTCAGGCCCGAACGGAACGCGACGCAGAGGTAGATGCAAGTGGTTTAACGTCGCCAAAGGCTGGGGATTCATTTCTCCTTTGGACGAAGGACCAGATGTCTTTGTGCATCAGGTGAGTAAGGAGTCATTGCTCGGCTTCTGCCGCGGACCGGGGGCGGTTCCTTCGAAGAATGCGCGAGCCGAATGGTAAAGTTTTCGGGACACTCGGGACGGGAGAAGAGAGCGGCGTCGTACGTGCGCTTTGCTTTTGTCAGCGCAAGCCGCTGGGGCCGGTTGTCAAGACTACCGGTCGGATCTCGGCCGTCTGGCGGCTCCTATTGTCGTTATAGAGAGTCTGGACTTCACAAAGGACGACAAATCGCGCCTTCAAATACAGAGGCTCGGCTTCTCACCAGAAGAATATGAGAAGGTCAATGAAACTGGAAGAGCTCTCTGATTGTGCGACACCTCCTCCCCGATCTCGCGACTGTTTGAAGTCGAGTTGGGTCGAACGGCTCGGATCTTCGGGAAGGATCGCCTTTTTCTTGATTCAGGCGGAGCGGGAGGGATTTCGATTGGCGTACAATCTAGCCGCACGGATCGCCGAGGTGCCCTGAGAGACGCGTCCGAATAAGACATTTTATGGCCTTTTTAAGCACTTTATAACTTTGCCCGCGAGTCCTTTATATATTTTATGATTTTCTTCTACGCTATTAAGTTGAGCCCTGGAAAAAGCGAGGAGGCTCGAGGAGGGCGACGCTCGCTTGAAAAAAACGGAGAAGGAAGCCAATGAAAGTATCGCGTGATGGGTCACTTGAGCGTCTAGGCTTTCAAACGGTGCCGAGAATCGCGCTCCCTCACGGAATCTTCAAAAGCCTCGGAAGTGATGATAGAGGAGGCTTCTCATATATTATGTACCGCTGACCTCGTTGCGTCTGTGAGCGTCGTTGTTCCGTTCCATCTGATGTCCTTCCGCCTCGGATAATGTTTTATCAATAACTACGAGCTTCGGACATAAATAAACGGCGCTTGGCAGGACAGCGCGCAAAGAGACGCCACATTGAAAGGAGTTTCGAGCAATGGCTCGTATCGTCCTCGATCCTCGCCATCCTTAGCGGGCCATTGGCTCTTCGCATTGAGGAACTCAAAGCGGGAGGAAACCGGCCAAAAGGATCCATGTTCTGTGACGCAACAGATCGTCAATTCCATTCGGGATGCCTTGTTCTTTATTATCATAATGTTATTACGTGATCTACATGGTCGAGAGCTCGGCTCAATGATGAGCCGGCGGAGTAGGCCGCGAACCCTATTCGAAACGATTCTCCGCTCCGAATCGAAAAGAGGGGGAGCTCTCGAAATTTCTCATTTTTCTCCCGATTCTCTCTCTCTTTTTTTATTCCTCCCCACTACACATCGATAATGGCGGGATGCGCAAGTCCCGCACTGCCGCATAATCGATAACTAGTACTTCGGAAAGCCCTGTGTGCTGCTTCACTCCTCTTTGACTTCCGAAGAATAAATCACCGTGCTAGACACAGCTGGCTCGGAGGTCTTGGACTTATCCCCGACCAATACGAGACTGGAAGGATTCACGAAACTCAGAATTCACCGGGAGCCCTCGGATCCTGCGGATTTCTCGGAAAACTACGGCGTCGACGATATTCGGAACTGCCCTTGCTTGTCGCACTCGGATAAGATCTATGCACGCCTCAGGCTGGATAGATCGTGTCAGAGTGACCAATCCGTGAGACGCTCTGGGATACAGATGGACCCACGGGCAGCGGGACGCATAGTGGGAACCGAGGAGCATTATGTTGAATAAGCGGTAGAGCTCAATCGCTGGCCATCTTTTATTTCTATCGGTCTGATGTGACCAACACGCCTTCCCTGCCTTGCCCTGTTCTTAGTATTTCGTGGAAGCAGCTGGCCGCTGAGGATCTGAGTTCTTTTATTCTCCACTCCTCGCATCCCCGCTGCGGGGGTGGTGGACGCGATGTCGACCTAGATTTTTCCTCCATCAGCGGCGGAGTCGGACCCTTCCAGGAATAGTTTCTTATCCGAAGAGCCTCCCAGGATTCCATATGATCATCGTGTGGTCTCGTCTCTCTGTGGTCGAGTGTCGAACGGTGAGCTGCTCCGATTGAAGTCCATGCAGCGAATCTCCCTCCGCTCCGTTGAAAGCCATAGATGGAGTTTTCCTGGAGGAGAGCACCCAAGGAAAGTCGGTTTTCGGCGAGAAAGTCCGACGAGAGTCGTGAGTGTGGAACACGCGAGCAAGCACGACCGAGTTGAGGGACAGGGAGGAAGTACAATATGTTCATCTTCAATCAGCTCCTGCTTCACTTGCGACTGCCGCTGACCACAAGTAGGAACGGAACTACGCATAGATCGTAGTTTACAACTCAACCCAATTGCGGTGGACAACTCCGCTCGTGAATTGATTGTGAGTTATGGCGACCACCAGCCAGTGGGACCGGCTTCAAGCGAGTGGACTCTTTCTCTCTCTCCCTCGACTCTTTTCCGATGGTTCTCAACCGCTGACTGATTGGGGCCATGATCAGATGGGTGAATCAATCGGATGACAAGAGGGACGACGAATGCAAAAGCATGGATTCATCGGTTGAAACTCTCATCGATAGCTCGATGAGCTCGGGCCAATCCAGAAACAAACGATTGATTTAGCGAGCCAGCGAACAAATGCTGAAACATGGGCGAAGCGGCCGCACATCCCAGACGAGTCAGTGAAGCGTGGACTCCGACATCGGCGACCGGAATGACCTGCCTCACTGCAAACCAGCACGCTAGTGAGCTCGTTGGAATGAAGGGGGAACTCGATGCGGGTTAGGTGCATCTCTCGATCAACTCAATGAAACTTGGGTAGCCGCGGAGTCTTGGCCGAGCTTCCGCAATCACCCGCACCCGTGAAATGATTCGCTCGAGCTGCCTTGCCGGAGACCGAACTCCTCCGGAACTTCAATTACAGGTACTCTATAGTAGCGCCGAAATTTTCACGGAATCCGACGCATTGATGATTGTAGCCCATTCAGGGTCCTTGACGGAATGGAACACGGGAGAGCCGCTCGCGAATGGCACGAAAACTCCTCAATCTCGCTCGTTCCGTTACTCGTCAGCTCCCGGTATGCGGTCGCACCGACAGACGAGCGGATTGCTGTGGTCTATCTGATCCTGTTGTGACGAGGATTGTTTAACAAGCATCTGTTTGCTTGAGCACACACAGATGCTCCTTAGCCGTTGACGACCTCGGTCACCTCAGCGGTCAGCATGCATGCGGAACCGCTCCGAATCCAACGGTGATCCTTCCTCCGAAAGCCACGAGCGCCTTCGCCTTCTCCCCGATCAATCGAGCTCCGATGTTCGTTTCCGCAACCAACGTCACGAGATTGATCCTCGAATCCCTACCGTTTCTGTACGAGACGTTGACGAGGCGGTGCTCCCTCCGCGGGAGTTTCTCCCGTCCCGCGGAACGCTGGCTCCGGGATGCGGTACAATAGCCACTTGGGCTCCTGAGAGCGCGGGTATGAGCGTAAGGGCTTTCACTTCAATCGAATGCAGTTCTCATGTCGGCCAGTCAGCAGGACTTGTCGCAATTGTCAACCGCCGTCAGAGCAAGGACTGTCAACATTGACCACCGGAGCTTTCGGTATGTTTCTCCGAAAAAATAAAAGCTACTCGAAAGCATCGATGATAAAACGTCACTCAGAGCTGCCATATGACAGCTTGCAGTGGATACCCGCCGCGCCGTCGCCTCCAACACTTCACGCCGTCGGCCGGGGGAATTTTTCGAGGACGATTCCGTCGCTCGTCCTCACCGGTCGGAACTTGGGGTTTTCTTTTCCCGAAGGTATTCGGATCCGTGATCGGAAAGCTTACGTTGCTCCAACTCGGCTCGGGAGTGAGGAGGCCTTGGCGAGGTTCCGTCCTTTTTTCTCACTTGTTCGTCTTTCCTCTCCCTTGATGGACTATTTCGCTTGAGGCGCAGGCGGATCAGAGATGAAAGTTGGATCTGATCGAGGGGTTGTCCGATCGTGATCTCAATGTCTCAGATAAGCAGATAAGAAGCTTCACTCAACCTGGTGATAATGTGAAAAAAATCTGAGAGGAGCAACAGTCGTCAACCCCTCGAGAGCGAAGACAGAGGAGAACGTTTCTCCCCCTCTTCTTCGCACAAGGCAGAGACGACCGCATCCTCTCACTTTGGCTGAGATATCCCCCGATCACATCGTCCTGGAGGTGGTCTTCGGAGCTTGATTCGTTGAAAGGGATGTTTGCGCAATCATGAGAAGTGAGATCGACGAATGTTCAACCCGTTGAAGTGACGAAGGCCCTCCTCTGAAGTCGAGGATATCCGGATGGATCCAGCAATCGTTCTCCCTTAAGCCTTGCGGTCTGGCTTGCGGCTTGCTAAGTCAAGTCGAGCCCATCATCCGAGAGCTCTGGCCAGAAAATACTCGATGTAGAGGGCGGAGACGAGAATCGAATAAAGCAGATGCTTTAAAGCCTGCTCGGTCATCTCGGACGGACGGACCGCCAGTCGGTCAGTCAGTCGGTCGGTCGGTCTGCTAGTCGACCAGCCGGCTGGTTGGTTTGCTCGCTTGCTTGCTTGCTCACTCGCCAGCCAGCAGACTCCTTGCGCGCCTCGCTGCCAGGCGATTCGAATAGCTGACCAGATATCCAGTCTAACTATGCAGCTTGTGTGTAAGCCAGTGGACCGCCTCCACCGCCGACGCCATCAACGAGAACAGTCAGTCAACTCGGAGCCAGACGGTCCAAACACTCCCGACTCGACTGGTCATTCATGTCCGCTGACTCTTCGAGATGCGAGAGCTAAGCAGCGGATTTAGCTTTGACCTCTTTTCATGAACATTCGATTTTTTTTCATGAATATGCGATTCGACGACGACTTCGCTGCTTTTTCGGACGTCGAATCGATAGCATACGTGTGTACGCCCTCAGAGGTTCTCCAATGGAGGTAGTGTTCTTTGAGGGTTCGCCCGGCAGAACGAGAATTCAATCAATCGTCGAGCGCGATGTCGCGAGAAATGCTCTCCGCAGGATTTAGCTGGGCTCATGGGATTCCGGCATGATGCAAACGATTTCCGCTGTCGTTCGACA